TCCCGGGCACGTGAGCACCGGCATGAGCACCGACATACGATAAAGCACCTGTCCGTTTTCATTGCCAGTAGAGAATGCTGATCGTTTTAGGATTGGTCTCTATAATTGATGTGGTACTTAATCTGACCACCATGTAGAAAGAAGTAGGAGAACAATGCTGTTGACCGTGGAATAAATTTTGTTGAACACACAGAAGCTGTAACCTATGAGCACTTTTATTTCAGTTGAACGTGCTTTCAGTGGGTGTGCAGGGGTTTATAGATTCATCTTTGAGTTTAACTTTGTTTCGAATATGACCAAATTCATTCTCCATTTCAATAGAGCTTTTGCAATATGCTTTACCAATAAAAATACAAAGCACCAAATAAGGAATACCGTGAGAATTTGGGAAAATATTTACGGCGCTCTGCCCCAGTTTCGATATCATCTTTCACGGGTCATTCTGGTTGAAAAAAGTTTGATCCTATCGTATAAAAGTATAGGTATGAAATNCCTATGGGAGAAATTCGTGGTTACTGTTGGAATTGAGCTATCGTGTATAAATTCTGGGCTTCAGGTTGAAATTTGTTTGACTATATGGTTCATGCAAGTTGGTGATATCGCGATCTTACTGATCGGCAGTTTGTTTAGTGCTCGCATCTTTCTTTCGGTTATTTTAGTGAAAGCCTGTTTTTGTTTGATGATCGGAAAGTAAAACACAAGCTCGCTGTTTTACATTACTGGGACTCGATAGTGGTGCTCAACCGGGACTCGTACGGGAAACGTAAATAGCGCAAACCTTCCCACTGGGAAACAGGTTTGAGGTCAACGGCTTGAAATCATGGTTACAATAATTAAAGTGGATATTTTCTTGTGTGGTTAATGCTGTCACAGAAATCATACTCTGGGAGATTTTTTCTGGGGTTATGTCCTACATTTCTGTTATCATGGTGCTGTTTGTCACAAAAAATGCTAAACCATTCTTGAATTCCACGTTTTCGACACACGTCGATATTATTGTCTACTACGGTGTTTTAAGCTAGGGTCATCGTGTCAACGCTCCTGATGAAGTTTGCCACCGAGTCACATCTCCTGAAACACTTTCTCGATTCATGTTACATAAGTGCTTCAATGCTTACAAAGATAGACAATTGGTAGGCATTCAGCCTGCATCTTTTCCAACTGTTATCACATCTGACAAGATTGTTGGCGGATAACGACGTGAGAAACTAATAAAGTGGTCCCAGAAACAAACACAACGAGCTACCGGATGATCATTTCATATTTGTATGTGGTCTCATTTGATTCCATACAAATGATTGAGGTGCCTTGTGAACCACTATTCTTCGATTCTAATCTGACTTAGCATAACAGCCGGTTACTGCACAAGCTTCGTTCATGCAATGTGCATCGTTAATGTGTAATTGGTGCTTAAAACTAATCACTAAGATGCTGTTATGCCTTACCTAATTCCGTAACCTTGATTTCTGCCGCCTAGATAAATCTGAGTGCTACCGGGAATGAGTAGCGTACTTCTTATTGGGGAATAATTTGAACAGATGACAGCTTTTCAATGGCTACTCAAATCCCTAACTGTCGATTCGCATAATATTGGAATTTTGATGGGGATGAATCAGTGATAGCTACAACGACATAAGTCACAAATCGTGTGAATGAGTACAGTAGAAAATTTTTCCAGCCGGAGTGATTTAAATTTCTAACACAACAAAGGTATTGAGATTTGATTTCCAACTTCTACCGACAAAGAGGTATCACTACTTAATCCCGTTTAAACAGACTGTCATTGCACAGCTGGTGGTAGATAAGATTTGAACACTGTAATTATCATTTACTTGCCGACCGACAGGTCTACATTGTATCTTGTGATTAGAATCGATGTATGTTTTTACTAAAGAGGCTTTGCCTTTCATTTTTTTCTTTTAATCGTAGCCCAATTGGTTGAAGAAGAGACTAAATGGGGTGACCCATTAAACTGCCTCTAAGAAATTTATCCATGATAGCTGTTTGCATTTGCTTTTTGGTGAAAATTCGTTCACTGATTGATGAGCGCAAATCACTTTCCCCATAGCTCAACTACTCCTTGGGCTTGGAAACAATTTATGCATTCCATAGTAAATGCAGGCAACTATCTCTCAACCAAAGAGATGGAAATTTTAGCCGTGCATTTTCAACCCGTAAATTTATTCGCAAGCGGCGTACCACAAAACCCAGAGCATAACGTAATTCCATTCGCCCCGATGCAGTGTAATTCTTTCAGTTCCATGAAATGGGATTAGCCACACTACCGATATACATTCAGTGTCCGACAAAAATAAGGCAATACCACTGAACTGGAAAATACTGATGGACTAAATGCTTTACAAAATCTCTCCAATTATAAAAATTCATTTTCAACAGAGGTATGCCAATGTATATGTCGCTTGATTGTTAAAACGTGATCATTAAATGAGTTGCGACACGAAACATGTTTACTTTTTTCGGCCAAACTTCCCACTAGAAAGTGTGATCGATTGTAGCTTGATTTGTTTAGGCTGTCAAACGATTCCAGAAAGAGCTTTGTCTCATGCATTCGGCCACGTACCAGAAAAAAAGTTACGGTTTATCCGGTAGCTATAAAAAGATTGTCTCAAGTATATGAGGCAAAACCACCTAAATAGAACCAAATATTCCTTTCTGGATTACAATAGATCCCACTAAGAATTAAAAAGCTCGCAATGTCAACATGAACAGTAATAGTCCGTTATTTCCATTCACTGAATAGACAGTTATCCAGTAGCTTTTTATTATATGACAGGCATGAGACACAGTAAAATTATGAGTTAACTAGTCCAAAACAATACTAGATATTCATCGAAAACACGACTTATTGATGATGCGCCTGATAATGGAATTATTACAAAAAATGAGAGAAAGAACAGAGTGAACAGGGTGTTCAACAGGTTTTCCAGCAAAAGGGTATTTTAACAAACATGGCTAAAATACCTCGAAGGAGAACGCAATCCAGTCTTATGAACAGTGAAAATTTGAAGCACACAAAATACTCCGCTTGTAAAAGGTGAGAAACCTTACAGCATTCGTCCGATACAAGTTCAGGGATGTGAAGGGACGAATGCATAAAAAGGAAAACCATAGGCTAACTAGAACTTTAAAAATTCTGTAATGAACTCAAAAATAATCGAGATGGAAATTGGGAGAACATTTTGCGGAATATAGATAAAACTAAAGAGGATTTTAGCAGTAATAAAAAACCCCAATGTGTAGAGCTTTCATCAATGGCAGTATTAAGGTATGAATTGAATGAAACGCTTGCAGACAATCAATCATGCAAGCTGTATGAATTATGTAGACTCTTAGCTGTAGGAAAGATAACAATTCAGAGTGGCACTGGCAGTAAAAACAAGATTAAGGTCATGAGTTTGGGATAAAAGGTAGTCGATGAAGATCAGAAGGACGAAAATGAGGGTTACAAAGAAGTGAAGTGTCACCGCTAACTGGGATTACTCTTCAAAGGAGTCGATTTATCCCTCTTCTCCGGAAAAGTTTCATCAAATCCTGAATCAGGAAGTTATCTCACACTAAAACACACTACTTTGTACTAATCAATTAAAAAAACACCGCCCGAGCCGACGTGATTGGGATAGAACCATTCGAAAGGTCAATGAAAGTTTTCGAAAATAAAATCACCGATCAGAAGATCATTAGAAATTGTTCCAATTCTTTCATTTTGCGATATCAATATTGCAAAATCCACCTTGGTAAATGTGATCTGAAAACAGAGCAAATTAACCTTCCTTCATTTTTCAATTGAAAAGCAATGGTACGTTTATTGGGTGTGACGTACACATATATTTTAATTGGAAACCTGAATTAGCAACGTTCAAATTTGAATTCTTACGTTTGAAGGTAAAACAAAGCAGTTGATCATCACTTATTTTGGATTATGACGTTTAAGCAATGAAGATTTACTACCTAAAGTAGACCAAAGACAAAGAAGACAAAGTTCTAAACCGCTCCATACCAGAGAGGACTTCGAGTGTATCCCTTCCAGAAAAATCCCAGTACAGTTCATTACAACCGTAAATCCCTCTTCTCCGGAAAAGTTTCATCAAATCCTGAATCACGAAGTTATTTCACACTAAAACACATTATTGTGTACTATTCAATTCAAACAATAACATTTGCTTTTTTATTGGTGAAATACAGG